AATATCTGAGACCAAATAATTTTGGTGTTTGGTAACAGAACTGAAATTGAATCTAAAGAATCATTTATGCTATAACGCAAAGCACATGATGTAATTTGGCCAATGTTGTTGCCCCCACAATGTAGAACCAGATATTGTGGGGGATCTTCATACCTTAACATTAATTTGATTTTAGGGAGGAGATGTCGCCATCTCATGCCGCCTTTACCCTGCCACCAGATATCAGCCTTTAATGGTATATTATTGACGATCCAACAATCCATATTCTTACACCTTCTGAAATATATGTAAACAAAAATGAATTTATTTAAAATAACATTTTCCAGACTGGTTTAGAAAACCTATCAAGCTATTCTGTTTGAGGTGCTAAAAGTAGTACAACCAATTGAATCTTTAACCATCAATCAAATTTGAAGTTGGTATTCTTATATATCTCTTGTAAGCTTTTGATCCCCAACGACCCATTTCTTGAATTTGATCATCTGAAATGCCGTTAATAGAAGCTGTTGTGGCACTACCTATCCTAAAGGAATGTGACTTGTACTTATTACTGTCTACCCCAATGCATGACAAAGACTTTTTCAAAATGGCATTGAATTGATAACGTGTTAATGGTGACTTGTCGAAGTGACAGAAAAAAGGACCTTTAGTCATGGGACGATGAATTGAATATTGTTTTGGTAGCTTGACTGGACATATCTTTCCCTCAACTGCAGGTAGAACCAAAACAACTCCTTTACCAAACTGGTCAGTTTTAGAATGAGACAAATAAATTTTTACATCTGAATTGTCCCGAGAGAATTGGATGCTTGCAGCATCCAGGGCATGAGAACTACTGCTTTTCTTACTATCTAACACCAACTCCCCAACCCTAAATAGGCCAAAAAATGAGCATGAAAAAACTGCTGAAAACAATGTAGCTTCATAGGATGATTTACAAACAATTGGGAGTACATTCAATAATTTCCCCAACAATTCAGGTGTAAATGGCAATCTAGCATCTACTGAACTTTGCAATCTTGACATGCCTACCACCATCTTTTTGATAACAAAGTTTTGGGTGGGGTCTCGGTTACCATCAAGTTTACATTTAAAGCTCATAGCTGACAGATAGGTCCTTACAGTAGCAGATGACAGACCCTTTAATGAACAACTAGCTACAAATTCTATAATCTGTTTTTCATCAGGAGGCTAAATCGGATGTAACCCACAAGATAACCTGAAATGATCAAATTCAACTAAACCTGTCTGATAAGCAAGTCTTGTATTTGTTGAAATTGAACTCTGAACTAATCTGTCAAATTTAGACTGGAGATGACGGTTCGAAAGGACTCTGGAATTGGTGTTGGCTCCAAGTCCACCTGAGGTGCAAATGACCGAAAACGCTGAAACTGAGAAAGAGATAGATCAAGCATCGGCAGCCTCATTATGAACACCTAAAATATGACAAGCCTTGAACTGTATATTGTTTAACATGGAATGAAGTACCAGGGGACGAATTAACCACATAACACGCTTAGACCTAGAAGATTTTTTGTTCAAAATTGTTACTAAGGCCTCGTTGTCCACATGGAAAACTATTTTTCTGCTGAATAACTGATTTCCCCAAGCATGAATTGCCAAAACAATTGGAACAAGTTCAAGAAATGTGATGTCCCTGATTACCTCAGTACCAGCCCATTCACTTGGCCACTTGAGAAACAACCAATGATTCCTAAAGAAAGCACCACAGCCTAATTCTGAATTCCCTGCTCTGTCAGTAAATAATTGGAGTTGATCATTATCTACCTAGTCGATTTGAGGAAAGTAACAGCAGCCATTGAACAAATCTAAAAATGTAAGCCACACACCCAAGTCCTCCTTAACTGCCAAAGAAACCCTGATAAAGTGATGTGGTTTACAGACCCCTTGCATGATGTCATAAATACGCCTAGTGAAAGCCCGGCCTGACGGAATGGCACGCAAACAAAAGTTCAACAAACCTGCAAGAGCCTGAAATTCCTTTAGAGTAGCCTTCTTTCTTGACATAAAAGTGTTGATCAAATCCTTTAAACTTTTTAACTTATCAACTGGGATTCTTATCATCATTTCAACTGAATCTAACTCAAAACCCCAAAAGGTCAGGAAAGTTGAAGGCCACACTGTTTTAACATCAGCTAAGGGGACACCTAACTGCTCGCAAAGCCCCACAAACATTGACATAAGTTCATCACATGTATTGCTACCTGCCCTACCAGCAAACAAAAAGTCATCTAAGTAATGCACAACAGATTTCTATCCAGACTGTTGCTTCAATATCCATTCCAAACATGATAAAAATTCCTCAAAAAGACTACAAGACACTGAACATTCCATAGGCAGGCATTTGTCATAGAAAAACATGTCATTTATTTTAAAACCTAAAAGCTCAAAATCTGATGGGTGAACAGGAAGCAACCTAAATGCAGACTTGAGGTCCATTTTACCCATTAAGGCCCCCTTACCCAACAAACTTAGTAACCTAACAGCATCATCTAATGAGGAATAATGGACTGACGAGAAACATGTATCAATAAATGAATTAACACTGGAGTTTTCAGGATAAGATACATGTAAATGATGAATCAACCTAAATGAGCCATCCTTTTTCGGTACTAAACCTACAGGTGAAAGCCTAAGATTGGGAAAGGGTCTTGAATGGAATGGACCTGCAACTCTTCCAGCATTAATTTCTTTAAACACTTTTTCCAGAATTTCAAGCTCATTATCTCTAGCTGGCTTTAAATTAGAACAATTATTAGCTACCCTCGGACCATTGTAATTTAGTTTGAAACCTTCAGAAAACCCCTTTAACAAAATTTCTGAACCCTTCCTATCATAATTAGAGTTTTGTAAATAAGCTGCAAGAACTTCCACTTTAATTGGGGAAAAACCTAGGCCCTGCAGATTGTGGTACACTGGGAAATCGTGCTCTAGGCTGGGGTGGTCTGGATGAAGGTACCTGGCTCCTGTATTGTAATGGGTATCTTTGACCTGAAAAATCTCTAGAAGCATATTGATTTTTAGCAGACGGGCCCGTATACATAACTGATGGATCAAGGCCGCTACAGCTCAATATTTATGTAAATAATGGAACTGCTGTTTTACACAAACCCCATAATTGTTATAGTCATAGCATTTAAGAACCACCCCCCCCCCCCCCCCCGCTGAAGGTTTTTGCACAGGACCAGTAAACGATGGTACCATGCACATTAGCCAAAGCTCCTGATCAACTATTCCCCATGAAGCACTTGAATTTTTAGCAACTCTCATTCGAAATTGCTCATCATAAAATTTCCACTCTATACCAGTGCACCTACTAGCCCCTACACGAACAGTGTGGATGTATTTAAGCAAGCCAAAATTTTTTGTAGGGTGTACTGTGGCATATATTGATGAGAAAATCAAAAATGCATCAGTCCACTGCTGCACATTTTTAATTTTTTGCTGTAGCCCGTTTTGGTTCAATCACTACTTGACCATTAGAGACTGTTAGTGTTTGCTTCCCATCCATCGGGACCGGATTGGATAGAAGCTGACCTAAATCAATGTATTCACCCTTAACAATTTTTTGTTTGATCGATTCTGTAACATTTGCCCCCAATCTACCGTATATACTATCGATCTCGTTACCTGTTGTATCTAAATTGACCTCAGGTTCGATTCATTGCTGGGACTAGTGGAAGAGTAGCCACACTTGAAGTTGTAATACTAGTTGTACAGGGTATGTTTTTCTCTGTCGAAACTTCTGTTGAAGCAACTGATCCTCTTTTTTGTTTTGGTCCACTCGTACGTGCTGACTTGGCAGCTGATTTCCGCTTTGCGGGCTTGGCAACCGGTTTACCTCTAGGCATTTTCTGAAACTACCGACTTAAGAGTAAGAAATAAATACTGTAGAAGTACTTTTTTCCGCGGGGTCATAATTCCGCGGAATCTCAATTTCTGTTTAATCAGCGGGTAGAAAATTACGCGGATTCTCTAGATTGTCACGATATGCCTTACATTTATATTAAGTACGCTTGGACAAATTTCCGCGGAAAATTTGTGACCGCGTACATAGCGTAAATTAATACCACGCGGAAGAAAGTACTTCTACAGTATAGAAATCATAAAGTTATTATTATCATTATTCATTTTTATTTATTTAATTTTTTTTTTGCTCAAATATTGTCTCAGCGTTATGACCTTTCTGTTTTATTACACATGTAGTTTTTCAAAATCGAAAAACATCCGAAGAGTCATTTACATAATGGGGCATATACGCACGGAAATAAAAATTGCTAGAAATATTCTCCTTAAATTTCAATGCATTACATGAAAAAATTTTAACACAGTATAAAAAATAAACAAATTTACAACTTGAGATGCAGGATGCTTCTGCTTTCCTTGGTTCTCTAACGGAAAAGGAAGTCCCAAGAGTTAGGCTAAAATACCGAAAGTTGATAGAACGGGGAAATACTAATGACCAAATAACCCCAAATATGGGCCTCTCTAATAACGCGATTTAATTTTCAGCAATTAAATCGAAAAATTGTTGATGATGGATAAATTTTGTTTTGTCTTTAAAATATGCAATTACATTTCCATACCTTGATTTTTTGCTGAATTATGTAAATGCCCCAACGTTTAAAACTGTTCTTTTTTGGATCATATAGATCGAGAGTTCATATGAGCACTCTCTGTGCTTTCGAGACAACACAAGTTTCATGGCTATTGTTTCTTGATTGAAATATTGTGATAACAAACAGGTTTCAAGCTCTCAATCGATTTAAAAAAAAATTATGCATAGAGCATGCAATTGCATAACCGAGAGTTATAAACCCTGTATGATGGTGTTGAAGGTATATTGTTGCATATTAAGTAAAGGAAGATGACGATTGAAAAATTAAAGTCATCATGTTAATCATAGAGCTTGGTTGTTACATTACCACGAAAGTCTTTTTCAAATACAATATCCAAACAAAAAATCAGATTCTGTTGTATCTTTTATTTAAGCTGTATTGGATATATTGTCTAGACATTAATTTGTTACTACGTTTGTCAATTTCAATCCAATAATCTTACCCTCCAAAAACTTCAATATGAGTTCTTACTCTTTCTAAAATTATTTCCAAATCCCAATATTCCAAGAGAGGTTAAGCTCAAATAAAAATTTATAATCATAAAAAAGTAGGCATATACCTATTTTTTGGGGTAAATTCCCCATCCCTAACATGTATTTAAATAATGAATGAAATGTAATGAATCAGCAAATTCAAAACATCGACAAAATTTTTTTGTCATTTATCTACATTTCAGATACATAACTGTATATATAACAGACCTATACCTAACAGTCAACTACATATGAAAACAATCAGGTGAAAATGCTCAATCACTTTTAACAGAAAATGAACCTATACGAATGTAACGCCTGACAGCATCTGACTTCCATCTACCCATATTTTGAATAGCATTTTCCGAAAAACCCTGTTTTGCTGCATGTGTAGCAGCTCCAATTTTGAAGCTGTGACCCTTGTATTGTTTTGGATCTAAACCAATATATTTGATAACTTCACTTAGTTTCTTTGAAACAAAAGAATATGTCACAGGACAACCATCTAAGAACTGAAATAAAGGTCCATTCAAATGACGGAAATGTTTTAGATATTGAAACAATGCATGTACTGGGCAAGAAAGGATATTGTCTGGTGTTTCTAAAGTAATAAATCTAGGTTGTCCTAAACTAATGGTTTTGAAATGACGTAGGACCAATTGTACATGATTTAATTTGTTATTTGCTACTTCAAAATGCACATCTGACCTTTGAATAACATATTCTGCCCGTGTCTTTGATGTTATAACCAATTCACCTAACCTGAAAAATCCATGAAATGCGAGCAAAAACAAAGCCTCTAACAGTAACATGTTGTAATGATCAATAATTGTGTGTCTCAAAGCCTTTACCATCTTGATCAGAATTTCACCAGTTATTGGCAAACATGAGTCAACAGTTGGACCTAATTTGTGACACCCTTTCAGCAACTTTTGCACTAAAAAACACTGCGCTGGATCCGGCATATCAAGAATTTTATGAATGTAGGTCAAAGCTGAAATATGTGATGTTATTGAGCTTGGTGAATATCCAATATCAAATAAATGACCTATAAAATTGCAAAGTGTATTGGATTTTACAGGTAAGGATATGGAATCAGCCCAAGTAAGGAAAAGCTTCCATGAATGTTGATATGCTTTTCTTGTTGCTGGGGCCAAAGAGGCTTGTAGCAGTTTTTGTGCTGACGATGTTAAATGTAAAGAAGGTCCTCTGGTATTTTTGTTGGTTGTTGTTGTAAATATGGTGCTTCCCGGAATGCTTCCTGAAATTGAAAACGGGATAGTCTGTCAGCTGTAACATTCAACTTCCCAGGAATGTGTTTTGCACGGAAATGAATATTGCACTGTAGTGACACTAAATCAAGTCTGCGCAACAATTTCATCAAGGATTTTTCCTTACAAGACTTCTTGTTGATAACCTCTACTACAGCCATATTGTCTGAAAGGAACAACACCTTTTTATTTTGAAAATGAAATGATCACACTTCCAGTGAAAGAACTATTGGGAACAATTCTTTAATGCAAATTTGATAATCATCTAACCCTGAAGGCCATTTACTGACCACTGTGACCCCAAGACAGCTGCAAACCAAGGGAACCTGATGCATCTGTATATAGACTGAAATGGTCTGAAGATAACCAAGCATTGTCCAAAAATACTGATTTACCATTATAATTATCAATGAACATTGCCCAAGTTTCCAAATCAGCCCTAGCTTCTTTATTCAATCTAATGTAAAATCTAGGATTACTTACACCACATGTCAAGTTTATTAATCGACGAAGGAATGTTCGCCCTGGAACCACCACAGAGCATGCAAAATTTAAAAGACCTATAATGGATTGCATGTCTTTTAATGTGACTTTTTTGCACTTCCTAAATAAGTGTAGTTTTTCCTAGATTTTTTGGATTTTATCCACTGGAAGACAGCATTCCATTTTCTCAGAATCTACCTCAATTCCATATATGACAATGTTGGTTGTAGGTGCTTGGGTTTTTTCCATTTTAATTGGTACCCCAATTGACTTGCATAGGAATAAGAAACTAGCAAGATCATTTGAACAACTAATTGAATTTGGGGGACCAACAAAGAAAAAATCATCTAAAATGTGAGACATACCTGAAGCATGAAAAACATTCACCATGACCCATTGTAAAGCTTTACTAAATGACTCAAAAATTTGACAACTACTGCTGGCACCCATCGGCAAACACATATCATAATAAAACTGACCTTCCCAAGTAAATCCTAACAAATGATAATCAGACGGGTGAATTGGGATGATGCGAAATGCATCCTCAATGTCAGTCTTTGCCATTAAGCAACCACGACCAAAAGTTTTAACCAGATCAACTACCTCATCTATTGAATCATACTGCACTGCTGAATTTTCTTTTGGTATGTTTAAATTAACCAACTGATTTTTCGGAAAAGAAAGGTCATGAATCACCCTAAATTTTCCAGTATTGCCTTTAGGGACAAGACCAAGTGGAAAAACAACAAAATTATCAAATGGTTTGTTTGGAAAAGGACCAGCAATCCGCCCTTTCTTTAAACCAGTTTTTATGTAGTTATCAATAATATCTGTATGTTCTACTGTGGATTTATGGTTTTGAGGGGTACATGGTGGGGGATCAGATGTACATCCTAATTTAAAACCATAAGTGAAGCCATTAATCAGGTATGAGGACAGCTCACTGTCGTAATTGATTAAAAATGTACTTAAATTTTTTGGGTTGACTGGAGATGGTAGCTGGTTGGAAGGGAGTGTTAGATTGGGATTTAGTTGTTGTATTTGTACTTTGTTTTTGTTGTTTCCGTACTCTACAATTGACTCTTGCGTGTGACATGGAGCATAATTGACACTTGTGGATGAAATGACAGGGGTTATATGAACAAGGTTCACCATTGTTGAAGGCATAACAGAATTTGGTTGATCTGCTGCCTGCATTTGTACGAAAGGGCTGCTGGAATTGAAAATTGCTTGAGGCAGCCTTGACCCTTAACTCTTCTACAGGTTTTTGCCAAGGTAAATCTGATGTTTCTCTCAACATGCGAAAGTTTTCATCATAGACCCTCCATGCCTTATCCCCTAACATCTTATTCATTTTCCTGATAAAAAAGCAGTATTTTAATAGATGGGAAGCTTGTTCTGGGAACTTTTCAATGTAAATGGCCATATATATCAAAAAGGCATCAGTCCACTGCTGTATGGACAGTGGAGCTTTGGGTTTTGAGGAACCTTGTTGTACTGTTACAGACCCTGTTGAAATCTTTAAGGATATTGGTTCCTCTCGCTGCTGCAACAAAATGCTTAAATCTATAAATTGGTTTGCCCAGATTTTGGTTTTCACCCTTTGTTGTGTTGCAGCACCAAGAGGAATACCATCAGAAATAACATTTTTAATTTTTGACGTTGCTGGCTCACCTGAGTTTTGTTGTAGTAATGCATTAACTAGGTTTGCAACGTTAGTGGATGAGTCTGTAATGTCTTGACTCTCTGAGGAAGATGTAGAGGTTGCCGGCTTTGGAATTACATTGCTTGATGACGGTTGAATGGAAACTTCAGACACGGGTACTACGGTACTATTTACACTGTCATTTACAGCAGTATTGTCACATAAATCCCAAGTGATATCATTATTGACCTCTGCACTATTCACGCTATTGTTGTCACATACGTTCGAAGCACTGTTACTGTTGGTAGAGTTTTGAGACTGTTTGATAATAGCTGCCGCTAAAAGGTCATAGTCAATCGCTGCTGCCACAGAAGGAGTAGAACTGTGTACAGTCATCGCAGACGACTTTTTCCTTTTTGGTGTTGGTTTAGGTGTGGAGTCTGTCCGACGTTTAGGCATGGTTTATTCTGAAATGATTTATACATGGGTTATAAAAATAATAATTTGCTTGTAAGAGATTCCATGTACATAGTAATTCTGTACAAATTACTTAGATAACACACAAGCATAAATTCTGCACACGTCTGAATAAATTCACTTAGAAAACAGACAAACATTATCATGATTATATTAGAGAATTTCCTGTATATGTCTGAATAAAATTACTTAGAAAACAGACAAGTATCAATTCTGCACATATCTGAATAAATTCACTTAGAAAACAGACAAACATTAGAATACACTTAAATTCTGTGAATGTCTGAGTAAAATTACTTAGAAAACAGACAAGCATAAATACTGCATGTCTGAATAAATTCACTTAGAAAACAGACAAACATTAGAATAATACACTTAGAAATTCTATGAATGTCTGAGTAAAATTACTTAGAAAACAGACAAGTATAAATTCTGCACATGTCGGAATAAATTCACTTAGAAAACAGACAAACATTAGAATACACTTAGAAATTCTGTGAATGTCTGAGTAAAATTACTTAGAAAACAGACAAGTATCAATTCTGCACATGTCTGAATAAATTCAGTTAGAAAACAGACAAACATTAGAATAATACACTTAGAAATTCTGTGAATGTCTGAGTAAAATTACTTAGAAAACAGACAAGTATTAATATTGCACATGTCGGAATAAATTCACTTAGAAAACAGACAAACATTAGAATAATACAGTTAGAAATTCTGTGAATGTCTGAGTAAAATTACTTAGGAAACAGACAAGTATCAATTTTGCACATGTCTGAGTAAAATTACTTAGAAAACAAACAGGCCTCAGAATACAATTTAAAATTATGTGACTATAACTTACTCATTCTTGTACCAAACTGGTAAAGCTTAATATTTTCATAGATATTGATTGAACTTTTAATGTTTATAAATTGAATAATGGCTGATTTTGTAATCATTTTACTTAAAAGTCACATAAATTAGCCTGATTTCATTCAAGTGAATTCTAAACAAATTCAATAATTACTGGCCTTTAATTTCTGTATTCTATGATGCACAGCATATTTAATGCTCCTCATGTATTTCACCATTGGTATTGGAGGATTAGCACCAGTTTCCTCTCTCAAGTGGACTCCATCGCGCCCCAGGTAGGACAAGTCAGCCCAAAATCCTCTATGCTTCCAAAGGTGAACATGGAGAAGTCCAGATGTTAAAAGTTCCAAATGCGTGTTTATTTTGAAAACCTCATCGTTGTAGAATGCCAGGGATTTCCTTGGGTCACGGCGAAGTAGCTGACCAATAACAACGTTAACCACGCCAAGTCCATGTACAAGATAATTCGCATACGAAACAATGTCCTAAGAAATGTCCACGAGTTGTAGCATCATTTCCCCCGATGTCCAAAAAACACACTGTAGGAACTATAGGAAACATGCACAGATTTGGCGAGTTGGACAGACCACGGACTGTCAAACCTCCCTGACCCCGAAAATAAACTCTGTAGAGGTCTTCATCCAACGACAGGTTCTTATACATTGGGTTTTGTACCACAAATCGTTCTAAACGTCTCACATATGAATGTCCGATAATGCCCACCACTGCTGGATCCACCATGTTTACTAATTACCAGTTTCACCAATGTCCGTACCTCGGAAATCGTGAGGATGAGCTGGAATATCAGAATGCTTTGTGGCGATGCTAACATGCTGAAAATGTTTATGACACTAAGCGCACCTACTCATTAAAGATTGATTTTATAACTATTTGATGTATTGTAGATGGTTTCCTGATGCAACAGACAGACAAGTTGGTTGATGAAGGCCATGGAGATTGTCAATGCATTTTTGTTTAATATCATTGATGAAATATGTGTTTCCATAAAAGGATGTAAGTGATATATTGAGTCTTGCAATTATTTCTTTCGATATCCATTATTGACTCTTTCATACATCCAAAATTTTCATTAAAAAACTTTTGTAGCACAAGATTGGCATATTTTTGAATATTTTTGAAATGACTCGGGTATACAGAAGGAGTCTGCAGTGGTGTGGTGATCACGTGTAGAAAACCTTTTATGCGTTCGTATATTTGCTTCGGGAATGATCAATGCACATAAAATTACATAACCCAGAATTAAGTTTTAAGTTTCATACTTAAATTATAACTAAACCTAGTCTTATATTCTTATTTCACACATGTACAAGAATATAAGAATATAATACTTATAACTAAACCTTGTCTTATATTCTCATTTCACAAATGTACTGCTGCCTGCCTGGCACAGTGGTTAAAGCGTCTGCTCTAGAGTCTCAAAGTAAGGAGTTGATCTTTTAATCGCGGGTTCGAATCCCACTGTGGGACGTGGAGACCGGCGCTTCGGATGAGACTGTATAAATCGAGGTCCCGTGTTGCAGTAGGTGCTGAAACTAAAAAAAACCCCTCACTTCTCATGGCTGTAATTGCCAAGTATAGGACAAAAGAATTGCAACTTTTCACCGGCAAGTAGTGGTGTCTACATATGAGAAAAAAAATATCGAGAGAGATGTTAACATACAATCAATCAATTACACATATACAAATGAGTAAAGCTATCTGCTTTTGTTGTGTGTCACATGTGTTAGTATGTGAACATTTTCAGTTGCTTTTCTGGAAACCCTTACACAAATTATACCTTATTTAAGCGTAAAACATTCATATAAGAACATTCAATTTTAATTTTAAAGTCATTATCTCTCCTCTCAAGGGTCACTGCTAATGCGATTTTCAAAAATCTTTATTCCCGGACAAGCAATTTTAAGATGTATTAACATAAGCACGATTTTAATTATAAAAGAAGACAAGAAAAAAGAAAAACATTGAATTTATCAACCAAAATTTTACAATTTATAGCACAACAGCCAGGAGTTCTCAGTTGGAACTTAAAATCTACAAAACTAGAGAAAAATACATTAAAATATTTTTTTTAATTTCTTACCTGTATGATCATAGAATCAAGCTAATATCTTAAGTTTACTTACATCAGGAATGGAGAACAAGGTAAATTTTGGTTATTTTTTATCGACCTGTAAATCAAGCAGGAAAACTAGGTGCGTAGTTATAATAAGCAATAGCACCTTTTCCAAATTTTGTGACCAAGGATGAAGAATTCTGGGATGATACATTATTATAGATATGTAGCGTAAAATAAACTCTCTGACAGTCTTCTTCTCTAGAGCTAAACAGAAATGAAACAATCTACATATATGTAATTATAGCTCTGATTGATCCATTTTTGTTTTGAAACGTCATTCAAAACTCGACCACTACTGTTCTATTTAATAGAGTGCATAAGAAGATATCAAAGAATAAGGCCTTGTGTGTGTGTGTGTTGTGTGGATGCATGATGGGTCTTCTTCAATTTTAAAAAGGCAATTATAAACTATTGAATTTTTGGAATTCTGAATTTCTTTTTTTCTAAAAAAACTAAATCTTTTAAATTACTATAATGCTAAATTACTACTTCTTGTTTAATAAGCATCGGTGTATAGAAGAAGATAAATTCGGTATAACAAGCATAAATTGCAAAACTCTGAGACCTTAACTATTGACAAGGGGAAAATTAATTTCATAATTGAAGTTTTTGTCTGAGTATTCATTTTAATAATTTCTTTGTATATTTAGAATTTTTGCTTTTCATTGATGCACGTGGTAAATTTTAGGTGTTCTATATAAGGACAATGAATGTTTCTGTCTAAGCGAAGCTGAGTTTTAAAAACGCTCTTCAACGTATATATTCCTGGTGGTCTCTGCTAAAACTGTACTACTCCATTTGTACTTTCCGTATAAGGATATAGTTTGGAATTGTTCCGGTTATAGATAAGTTAATATTTGTGTATTTATTTCCCAATATGAGTCAAGAACATAGCGATCAAATTAACCAGAGAACTAAAAGCTGCTTAATGTGAGAAACATGCCTGAGATCGTATTTATTGCTGGAATATCTAATGGCTTGTAATGGTGGAGACATGCATATACATGTACTATGAGCACCTCCTATTAATCGAAAATTAATATTGATTTTCAAAAAAAATGTAAAAGTGCGTTATGTTTTTAATGTCCTGGATAACTTCCTTGTTCAACAGAGTGAAACATCTGGTTGATTATAGGGCAATGAAGATATTCAATAAGTTGGAGATTTTTATATTATTCTTATCATCTGTAAAATTATCTTCGACATTCGACATAGGAGTTTGTTTCGATGGGTAAGTTTTCGTCTGAAATAACTTCAACAATTTGTACATTTGTCATTCTTATGATGACTTCTTCGCTAAAAATGTAGCCTTTGAAAGAGGTATATATTGGCAGACATATTTCAAACCTAATGTTAAGCCCTTTTTGAAATCAAATTTCATACAGAATATTCTGTCTTCCTGATCAGTACATTGTACAGTATATTGCCTTCCAAGTCTGTGTGACTGGTCGACAGGGAATGCTTACTCCCCTAGGCACTTATCCTATCCCGGAGTCCATATTTGTGTCCTGTTTACAAATTTTATTGTTGGTATTTTTTGCGATCGAACACTTCTCTTTATCTTTGTCATATTCTGAATTTAATATGTATTAATTCAAATATGTTTTATGAAAATGAGCTTCTATTTGAAATAAATCAGTAGAAAGGGCGACATTGATAACGTTTGTGTACAATTATTTATGTTTAGAAATCTGAAATCGTGTTGCCCAAATTACTATCAAGTCAATGATATATGTAAAGGTAAGTATTCCAATATTTTAGTCTCTTCAAATAAATTAACACACACAAAGCAACTGATATAAGCCAGTGATTAATATGATTGTATATCCCTTTAATTCTTAATCTCTTCAAGAATGTCCACCTGGTACATTTGGTGAGAAATGTTCCCAAAACTGCTATTCAGGGTTTTATGGGCTTTTGTGTTCGTCAAAATGTAATTGTAAATCCATCAACGAAACATGTGACTCAATCGTAGGATGTGGTAAAAAGCCTCCCAGAGGAATATTAAGCATTCTAATTTAGTTAATACGGAAATAATAAGTATCATCACTTAAAAAGTCACAAAATACACACACATTACAGAGGTTTCGTAGATCAGCGTGTACTTGAACATGTACGTGTACAGTTCAAGTTATAGAATTACACGAACACGTTCATATCAATTTTCTTGTTTAGTTTATAACTTGTACATGTACTTGTTAATGCTTCAAAGGCAAATTAAAACTTTGCAAAAAACTTATGAAAAGAACAAGTTACAGTTTCAATATAAATTTAGCCCTTTATTTATCTAAAATATGAAATGGAATAATTAAAATGAATTTTTTTTAAGTGTGGAATTCATATGCAGTCAACATTAAAATACATAAATCGTTTTTTTCATATACCTCCTAAATACTTATTGTGGAACGTCTTTAACTTGTGCATTACCCCAAAATTGAAAAATCTGAAAAAAATTTCAGGTACAATGTAATTTTTCAAAGCAGAATTTCATCATATCAAATTGAAACACACACTATTTTCTTGCAACACCCACAAAGATTTTGCAGATATTTAGATTTTTGCTGTTAATTTTTTTTAACCTATAAATGTACCAAATTTTCATATATCCAAAATTTTTCATGCCATACTTCTTTGTGATTTAGTTTTTTATATTCATCTACTCAATTTAAAGTTTAAGAAAATAAGAATCATTTTTTTAAAGAAAATGAAATTTTTAGGGGCTTAAAACCCAAACTTTTCTTTTATTTTTTAAAATTATATTGAAATATAAATATTGCTTTAGTGTATAAATCGTTTGAAACTTGAAAAACTTATTTTTACATATAAGTGACAATATTCTCTTCAATATCATAAAAAAAAAAATTAAAATTAAGGAAACAATAACTTTGTAATTGAAATCAAAAAAAAAAACGTTACTTTAAAAGAAAGTTTGCATTTTAACACATAATAATTTACGGCGATATACTTATATCAGAAATTGCATTAAATCCTTAGGTTAAGAAAAACACACAATTTGATTAAAAGAAGCAATCCCAAGAAAACTTTCAAGTACAAGTATGCTTAACGGATACGAAAAACTCTTATGTGAATTTAAGCAAAAGATGACGTAATGTTACAGATTTTTTATTAAAATGACTTTATTTTTTCCTCTACTTCCTCTCTAATGTAATGCAAATTATAAATCACGAAAAATACAAATAATTTTTTTAACATTTTATTATTTCATTTTTCTCACTATTTTACAGTATGTAAAAGGCGATCTTTAAATCAGATGAAATCATTAAAATGTTTACAAAATTATTTTTAAATGCAAATAGGAAATAATTTTTCTGATGAATGTTTTTGTATATAAGACTAACATTTAGAATACTTTCCAAATAATTGAAATATTGGGAGAAACGCAAAAAGGCTGAAATTTCCTATTTTGTGTGCAAAAGGTTAAAATTTAAGTTTCCTAATTTTTTTAATACCCTTTATAATTTTTAAAATTTAAAAGGAAAAATATTCTTCTGTTGGAATTCTGTATGAGAAGGAACTTCACTTTGTACAGCTAAAATGTCTTGCGAAACGTTGATGAACAAAGCTCAATACGCTATTGTTATAATTTTTACCATAAAAGGAAAAAAACCCCAGGTTGTAACGATTTTGAATAGTTTTTTAGGAGAATAGGGACAAGTATATAAAATGAAAAAAAAAACAATTTTAGAACAAAATATGTAAAAGTTTTAAACCTTATTTAAGTTGTATACATTCTTTTAATTTTTTAAAAAGGGTTTTGTATATAAAATATATTAGGAATATTATAGAAGACGCCATAGTTGCGACAATGTATTTAAAGGTGGCCAAAATGGGAGAGAACGAGATTTCAAAATTATATTGACGTATTTGAAAATAGGAGAAAGATATAACACACAATTTTATATTGTTTTGCAATTTGCTGATTATATTTTAAAAACAACAATTCTTTTAGTTTGTCCACCTGGATCGTATGGCGAAAACTGTTCTTTAGAGTGTCCTAATGGGACTTATGGTTCACTTTGCAAAGAAGAATGTACCTGTGAGACAGGATGTGATAAAGTCATTGGATGCATTAAGCCAGGTTTGGAGTCTCATTCTGTTCCACTAAGGTTCTGACACACGTGATTCAATTTTGAATAATTTTTATATGATTGTCAACACATACGGGGTAAAATAAGGTAGAATATAGTATATTATGACAAATGCATACACTGTACTTGCAGATATGTACCATTAAAAGATTAATAGACCTGCTTTTGTATGAGCAGGAAACAACTGCTTGCAATTAGTGGAAAACTTCTATTTTGGTCAAAGGGGTTATTTTATATCTCGGTCAATGTTCTGATTTATTTTCCCCAGCCATTTAAGAAGAGCTGTACTGGTGTTTGTTGGTTATGGGAGAGTCATCACATTAAAAATTTAATTGGCCAAGTGTCAAGGGTTTTGGTGTTATAGCAGCAATGTTTGATCAAGTAAAAATGCATAATTTTTTTGAAAACGTTTTCTACCTCTGGGTATTTTGAAGATAAAGAAGTTCATAGTTATGATGAGAAAAACCTATTAGTGTGTTCATTCAACGATGAAAAGATTCCATTTTGAAATGGTACATGTATTGGACATCATTTAAGCAACTAATAATCTTGAATTCTTTGTTGCAACATTGGTTAAAATTATATAAGGTATTCGTGAGAGATTTAAAAAATGAAATAAAAAGTGAATATAGGAGCACAAATTAGGACGCCGAAAAATGGAGAATCAGAAAATCTCAGCTGAAATTTAAACTGAATTACAAGTATCTAAAACGAGCATCTTAAATTTTTATCATCAGTCGCAAAAAAAGGTCGAAACATTCACTTCTGAACTCATAAAAACAACGTTACTATATATTTTACATGTATTTTGTATGCTACTCATTTTTATTAAATTGGAACCATGCATACATTAATTAAACCGATATTAAACAGAATTATATCTGTACAGTTCCATTTGATATTTGATAGGTGCAACAATTTTTTTTATCTTCAGAATCTACTAGATACCGATATGAAATTTTGATCTATACATTAGCTACGATTATTCCCTTGATAATCATCTGTCTGTGTATATTCTTCCTGGGGAAATGCTTTCAACAAAAGTAAGACATTTTTCTCAAATATCAATAGAAAGTACAAGTTTACTCTTGTCTCAACAAAAATATTTTTAAATAATATATGATAAAACTTTTTTACGACTTTATATCACCGTGTCTTAATGATATTTTTACAGGCGAAAACAAAAGAAATCGTCTGCAAAGAATTTTGTCGGTAAATCAGTATACTTGATTGTATATAACAAGTTCTGTATTGGAGCTCGTCTTTTCATTTTATTTCATGCCTTCAGAATCATTTTTCTTATTCTTTTTCAATTTAATTATTTAATCTTTCTCTTTATTTTTTTTCTTATGACAGAAAGAGTAATATTTCTCTCATATTTATTTTTTTTTCAACAGATATTCCTCCTTACGACGTAAATCTACATAGAATGCCTTCTTCGACCAAAATACTTCATGATGCAATCTCTGATAAAACACCAGTTGATGTATATGCAACCATAAAAACGGAAGAAGAAACTGGATTACGTCATAACGAGGACGAGCTTGATGACGGAGTGTACCATACACTTACTCTCCGTGTAACAAGATACGAGGAACCAGTCACGAAGAAGCGCCTCGTTAGAAGATATTCCGACTCCTCTTCAACGTATATGAAAAGTTCTGCATGCAATTTAATACGATCTAAGGACAATTATGACCTGTTTTATGAATGCAAGAGATCATCCTCATTAAGAATCAAGAACATTGAAAGAAAAGACAACTGTCGCGAAAATATACCTGCTCAAACAATGGAAGATGAAGAAAGAGATAATTTTGTAACGTCATCGACAGGGAAGGAGAGTGTTCCTTTACCGTTTGAAAAGAATTATATTTATGATGTGGCTAATTGTGTAGAGCATGATAAGGCAGCTGTTAATCTTAACCACAAGGAATTATTTCTCAAAGAATTATCCTCTCATCTTTTACATTTTAAGAAAATATGTCCGAGAGTGTATATATCTGAAGATCTTGTTCTTAGAATTATTTGCAATTTCAACTGTAACATACGTACAAGTGTCTCCTTCAAAACAAGAAAAAATAAATGTATTAGAACTTTTCTTCACATGTTTTCAATAGCATTAAAAGTGAGGAAATCCGTCATCTTTGATGAATGTCGAGTAACTACAGCTAAAAAACATCTCAGACTTCAGTATTATTTTTCTCATCATTCATTCATTATAGTAGTTATGAACTTCTTTGAATTGAAATTTGTTTGTTTCAATATACCGGTATATGATGCAATTTACTGAATATTATTTCAGTTGTTACATTTTTTATTAGTCTAAGAACCCTTGTGCTTTCTTTGCACAAGTACTTGTTTTTGACATGTAATCTTTTTTCCCGTAGTGTCATTAATTTAAAAACTTTTTGAACAAAAACTTGCGTTTTTTCTCTTTTGGGGATTGTTCTGCTAAATCCATCCATCTTATATTTAAAGAATGGTCAGTAATCTTCATATATATTTTTAACGTTCAACAAGTTAAACAATCCTTACGAATATATAAGATACAGAAACATATAAATTAAAAAGTGAAAACGATTTTAACAAAAAATATTCTATTTATATTTTCAATTGTTAAAAATGATTCTGCATTATAAATCCAGATGTAAGATAAATGGCATTTTTCATTCACTTAATCTTAATTTTGTTTCTTTATCAAAATACACGTTTAAACTATCAGGACGTTCAACAAGAACAAACAAACAAAACAAAAATAAACTTGTGTAAAAAATAAAAGTTTGAAAAAGATAAACCATTTAAAAATGTTTCAAATTTATGCTTTAGTAAATGTCATACAGGAGTCACACCTATCGTTTAAGGAGGGTGGGCAGGAGGGGGTGGGGTTTCAACAAAATAAACATAAGATGTAATGAAATATTTAGGTGTCATTGAGGAGTGAATCATTCTGTCAGATGATATTTAATGTATGATTGTACCTTGAATCATTGTGTAAAATGTTGCGTGAAAAACTTAATGAGTCCAAATCAGAGTCCAAAACATATAGCACGGTATTATTAACAATGTCACTTACTGGATTAGACTGTGTTTTATACGCAATGACCTTTCAGTACAAATATTTTATTACAGATGAGGCAACCAATAACTCGAGAGAAATCACTGTTGCATCCGTTGCAGGGTTGATGGGGATTGTTTGTGTGTCAATGGTATTGCCATAATTTACTGATATGACAAATTATTTGAGAGTAACTTTCTTCCAGTGACCAATCTTTTAAAAATCTATATACAGTACAAATGTGTGAAAAGGGCATAAAACAGACCCCTAGAAATTTCTTGATGGGAGACTAGATGTGGTACTGAACATAGTACTGAATATAGGTATTATATCAAGAAGGTATGATAGGTCAACAGTGCATTTTTCCAGAAATCAGGTATTAAATGTATGAATTTTGAATAACTTTGAATCAT